AATATATGTAATTTTTTACCTGGTAATTAATTTCTGGGAATACACCTTGCAGATAAACGCCCAAATATGCAGAATAATGAGTGGACAAGTTATGGCATTATGATTTATAATAAGAAAGCATTGGAATCTGCTGAAAAGTTCCCAGATAGGAGATTGAGCCAATAAAATTATGGCCTGTCCTTATGAAGTTGCATATTAATTCACAAACTTGAGGTAGCTTCAAAATGCAGAGTTCAGCAGGGAAAATAACAAGGTGTCTACCATTTGGGTAAAACACTTATATGTATATGTTTATGAACATAGTGACCATCTCTGAAAGGCCACATGGGAAAGGGTGGTGGCCTTTGTGAGGGGAACTGGGAACTAGAAAACAGGAGTGAGGACTTACTTTTCATTCATGCGCTTCTGTATATTTTTAATATCCTCAGTGTTAATTTTGTTACTCATCAATTGAATTAACCTTTCCATGTTTAGAATAAATTCCAACTCATTTCCATGATTAACTTTAATCTCCTCTCTTGCTATACTACTTCTCTTTCAGTTTGGGCCATGTGCCAAGATCTTTCTGCCTCAGGACATTTGTACATGCTGTCCTTCCGCCTAGGTTGTTCTCCAGGCCCATCCTAGGGCTGGTACTTTCTTATCCTTCAAGTCTTGGGTTCAACGTCATCTCTTCAGAGGTCATCCCTGGCTACCCTACATAAATAATTGGGAATAAATGCCTGTCTAAAGCAGCATCTCTTTATCATAATACCATGATTTATTTTCTTCATAGCAGTAGTCACTATTTGAAATTATCTTGTGCACTTTCTTTGTCGTTTACTATCTTTCCGCATCTCTGTGGTTAAGTCTCCATGAAAACAGGGACTATGTCTGCCTTGTTCTTCACTTTATCTTCAGGAACTCAAATAAATCTTTGCTGGATAAATTTATACTGTATATGCTACCGAATATACACCGCTCTTTGGACTAAAGAAATAATTCTGCTAATCCTCTCAATAATCCAATGTGGGACTCTAATAAAATCACCCTTTTGACAAATGAAGAAACAGGCACAGCGGAGATGAATAACGTCGCTAAGCGGCAGAGCTGGGACCGCAGAGATAAGGCTCTTGGACCACATAATTACCAATAATTACCATTGCCAGTAATTATTGACTGCCCACTGTTAGAGACCCTATAGGACACAGTAGAACTGCCCATAGTTTTCAAGGCTGTAAATATTTAAAAGATTTTATTGTAGTTTATGTGAAAATATTAAAAAGAAAATTAGTTTTCCATTCAACAATTTATACAAATTTGGCTGCAACACCCTCAGCATAAAACACTCTTCTCACTTCCTCCCTGGGTTCTCTGTTTCCGTTCATCCTTCTTTCCTGCCCCTTCCTGCCTTCTGTGTGGTTAACAGCCCAATGCATAAGCCACTGTTACCAAGGCCCTTTACTAGACCAGTCAGTCTGGTCTCTTTTATGATTTTGAGTTTGTTCTACTGTATTTTCCTTCCTCTGTTCAGGACTTTCTACTGTGATCCTGATCAGAACAGTTTGTAGTGGAGGCAGACACCACCTAGTTCTTCTGGTCTCAGGATAGTGAACACTGCAATTGGTATGATCCGTTATTCCTTTGAACTAATTTTTTTCCTTTCACTCTTTTTTGCTCCAGATGAAGAGATGATAGCTGCATCTTAGATAGCCACCCACAAGCTCTTAAGAGCCCAGTAGCTATTCACCGAAGTTGTTGTTAGGTGCCATCGAATAGGTGCTGACCCATAGCGACCCCATGCACAGCAGAACAAAACACTGCCTGATCCTGGGCCAACCTCACTACTGTTACCGCGCTTGAGTCCATCGATGCTGCCACTTGGCAAACCCATCTCATTGGGGGTCTTCCTCTTTTTCTCTGATCCTCCACCTCACCAAACATGATATCCTCCTCCAGTGACTGGTCCTTCCTGACAATATATCTGAAGTATGAGATGAAGTTTGGCCATCTTGGTCTCCAAGGAGCACTCTAGCTGCACTTCTTCCAAAATGAATCTATTTGTTCTTTTGACAGTCCATGGCACTTTCAATATTCTCCTCCAACACCATAACTCAAAAGCATCAATTCTTCTATGGTCTTCCTTATTCACTGTCCAGCTTTCGCATCCATATGAGGTTATTGAAAATGCCATGGCTTGGGTCAGGCGCACCTTAGTCCTCAAGCTGACATCTCTGCTCTTCAACACTTTAAAAAGGTCTTGTGCAGCAGTTTTGCCTAATGCAATATGTTATTTGATTTCTTGACTGCTGCTTCCATGAGTGCTGCTAGTTGATCCAAGAAGAATGAAGTCCTTGACAACTTCAATCTTTTCTTCATTGATATGAAAAGAATGTTTATTGGTCCAATGGTGAGGATTTTTGTTTTCTTTACATTGAGATGTAATCCATACCCAAGGCTGTGCTCTTTGATCTTCATCAGTAAATGTTTTAAGTCCTCTTCACTTTCAGCAAGCAAGGTTGTCTCACCTGTATATCGCAGGTTGTTAATCCTGATGCCAAGTTTTTCTTCATAGAACCCAGCTTCTCGGATTCTTTGCTCAGCACAAAGGTTGAATAAGTATGGTGAAGGAATACAACCTTGTCACACACCTTTCTTAATTTTAAATCATTCAGTGTTCCCATGTTCTGTTTGAACAACTGCTTCTTGGTCCAGATATAGATTCCTCATGAGCACAATTAAGTGTTCTGGAATACTAATATTCGCAATGTTGTCCATAGCTTGTCATGATCCACACAATCGAAAGCCTTTGCGTAGTCAATAAAACACAGGTAAACATCTTTCTAATATTCTCTGCTTTCAGCCAAGATCCATTGGACATCAGCAATGATATCCCTCCTTCCACCGCCTCTTCTGAATACGGCTTGGACCTCTGGAAGTTCTCTGTCAATGTATGATTGTAGCCATTTCTGTATTACCTTTAGCAAAACTTTACTCGCATAGGATATCAAAGAGATTGTCCGATGATTTCTGCATTCCGTTGGGTCACCTCTCTTTGGAATGGGCACAAGTATGGATCTCTTCCAATCAGTCAGCCAGATAGTTGTCTTCCAAATTTCTTGGCATAGATGAATGAGTCACCAATGTAGGATGCAGAATATTATCTCTGTGGACCAACCAAAGCCTCACCCCTCCCTCCCACCTCCAGCAGAGTCGCTTGTGGGTTTGAACCAGGATCTTGGAATAGCCGTCCAGTGCCAGCGTTACTTGGGGGCTGTAAATCTTTATGGAGTTAAAAGAGAGAAGAAAAAAAAAACTTTTATGCAGTTGTCCTGGTGTGGCGCTGTAGGATAAGCACGGGACTGTTTACAGCAAGGTTGGCGGTTCAAACCCACCAACCAGTCCTCGGAAACCCTATATAATACTTCTATGAATCAGAACCGATTGATGACCTATAACAACACTAGAAAGGAGCTCTGGTAGCGTAGTGGTTACGAATCGGGCTGCGAACCGCAAGGTCAGCAGCTCGAAACTGCCAGCTGTTCCACGGGAGAAAGATGAGGCTTTCTGCTCCCGTAAATATTTACAGCCTCGGAAACCCTGTACAGGGTCGCTATGAGTCGGAACCGACTCCACTGCACATAACAACAACACTAGAAGAGCGGCTGGTGGATTGGAGCTTTCAACCTTTTGGCTAATAGCCGAGTGCCTATCGCTACACAACCAGGGCCCCTGTTCTCAGCCACAGTGCGATGCTGTCTCCATATACAAATTATTGGGTCGATTAAAAAAAAGAATGAAGGAATGTACAAGTTGATTCTTGACGTCTCCGGATTCCCCAGATGTTCCGCAAGGGGGCGCGCTCTCACAGGTCTTAACGCCAGTAACTCCAGGCGCGCACTCCCTTTGCGTCTCGGGCTCGCGCGCGCTGCCGCAGCACCGGAAGTGACCGAGCTTGCAAGTTCCCCCGGTCTCTTCAGGGGAAACTGAGGCCGGCTTGTTCGGAAGAGACGACAAGAGCAGTCAGTCAGGTAGGCCGGCCCTGGTTCGCGGCGCGGAAGTCGGCCGCGAAGACCTCCCGTATCTGGAAACTACCTGGCGCACGAAGGGGGATGTGGCCCCTCACGGCTGGCGGGGCTCGCAGGTGAGAGTGCCACCTCCCCTGTGCGTGACAGGCGCTGTGTCCAATGGGAGCCCTCGCCGTTTTGCTTCCGTGCCTATTGGACTTGCTGATTGGCTACACTAGGGCGGGCCGCCGGGGGTGAGACCCCTCCTCCCAGAAAGGTTTAGGGGGAGCCCCTGAGGAAAGGTTGCCTAGCAACGGGGCGGTGGCCCGGCTGGTACCCGGCCTAGCGTGTTGGAGAAACCGCGAGGCCGCAGCCCACCCACTCGGAGCTTGGGAGGTTTAGCCCCCGGCCCCTGAGCCCTCAGGGGCTCCAGGAAGCCGCCGCGGGCCGGTCCCCATCCCCAGTAAAACCTTGGTTTCAGCTGTGGGAGGCCTCGAACGGGTCTCTACCCCACTTCCTGACCGGAGAAGAGACCGGGCGCCTCATCCTAACCCCGTCTTTGTGCAGGGCGCCGGCGGCCATTGTGTCCGGGCGGGGAATGGAGGACCGGGCAATCCCCGACTGCCACCGCCAAGTCCAGGGCCTTTGGGGAATTCACAGAAAACCTGCGGCGTTTGTGGGGGATCCCTGGCCTGCAGCCTCCTGGAAAGGACCAGGGGTGGCCTTTCGGAAGTCAGATCGCAGATCCTAGGCCGTTTCCTCCTTCCTCCTCCCCTCATCAAAACCTTGAGCCGCATTCAGAAGTCCCTTCTGGGTTTCTGAAGCCTCTCCCTGAGCTGGCCCTTGAAACACACACACAGACACACACACTCACACACACACACTACACCCACAGCAGCCACCTCCGGGAGCGTTCTCCAGGCTCCCTGTAGGAGGCGGAGAGCCAAGGGGCGTGCAGGAGTGAGGGGGCTGGGCTCCCGGGTGGTAGGAGACTGAGGCTGCCTGCCGAGAGGCCGATCCCAGCCATGGAGGAGGAAGCCAGCGAAGGGGCTGGTTCCTGAGTGTCGTGGTTCCGGTGTCGCCTGCAAGGCTCCCAGCCCACCGGGTCGCATGATCCCCTCCAGCCGGAGCTGTTTTTGTTGTGAGCGGCTGCCGCGAGGCCGGCTAAGTTACCGGCATCCCGGCCGCTGGCCGCCTCCTCTCGCGACCTATGATACAAAAGACCTTCCGGGGGCTGCACCTGCCTGCCTGCCTACGGCCTGAGACGGATTTGAATGTAGGTAGTATGGGGGAACTGCCTGCGAGGGTGACTTTCCGAGGCAGGCGTTTTAGAGAAATGGGGGTTGCAGGAGTCCGTGGAGAGTATGATGATTAAGAGCCTATTGGGGTTTTCAATTTGACTTTGTTGAAGTCTCTTCTTGGAAGCTAGACCCAGACCTTCATAAGAGTCACACAGTCAGCTCTGGTACCTGGAGGGGGAATGTGATGTAGGGTAGATGGTATTCATAGTAATTTGTTTTTCCCCCCTGAAGCTCTTTCTCTCCCTTTAGAACCTTATCTTGGCTTTCCATCGCAGAAGAGAACCACTAAACAGAGACCAGACTCCGTGTGTGAGCAGGTGTTTTGGACAATGGACTGGTGGAGCCCATCCCTATTATAAAAAAATGTCTCAGAGCAACCGGGAGCTGGTGGTTGACTTTCTGTCCTACAAGCTTTCCCAGAAAGGATACAGTTGGAGTCAGTTCAGTGATGTGGAGGAGAACAGGACGGGGGCCTCAGAAGGAACTGAGTCCGAGCTGGAGACCCCCAGTGTCATCAATGGCAACCCATCCTGGCACCTGGCAGACAGCCCCACGCTGAATGGAGCTACTGGCCACAGCAGCAGCTTGGATGCCCGAGAGGTGATCCCCATGGCAGCGGTGAAGCAAGCTCTGAGGGAGGCTGGCGATGAGTTTGAACTGCGGTACCGGCGGGCATTCAGTGACCTGACATCCCAGCTCCACATCACCCCAGGGACAGCATATCAGAGCTTTGAGCAGGTAGTGAATGAACTCTTCCGGGATGGGGTGAACTGGGGTCGCATTGTGGCCTTTTTCTCCTTCGGTGGGGCACTGTGCGTGGAAAGCGTAGACAAGGAGATGCAGGTATTGGTGAGTCGGATCGCAACGTGGATGGCTACTTACCTGAATGATCACCTAGAGCCTTGGATCCAGGACAACGGCGGCTGGGTAAGGACCACGCCCCTTGTGTGCCCCAGTTCTGTGCCCTCTGGACAGAGGGATCCCCAACAGCCTTTTGCCTACAGGTCTTTCTCTTGTGCTGGGGGGATGGTCGGGGACCTTGGTGGTCACCAGAAGGGGTTAACTGTGAGGCAATACCATGACCCAGTTGTTGAAGGACCTGGCCTTTCTCATTCTGGTCCTTTCCTGGCCCCCCTCTTTCGTACTTGTGCTCCAGTTTGTCAGCAAAGGGAAACAGCCTGTGTGTTCATTCAGTTCAAAGCCCATAGAGCATAGTTAGTCCAGTGTCCCCTCACCCTGAAACAATGGACCCCCCACCCAAAAGGTATGACTGTAATGCCCACAGGCCCTCATCTTTTCTCCCCCAGAGGTGGCAACCCTTTGCCATACAAGCTCCCTTTATTTCACACAAGTTCCCACCACTGCCTAGATGGCTGAGGCTTGTCAGGTCTGAGGGCTGGGTAGCTGTGTGAGTCTGTGTTTGCACCATACCCCTAAGTGTGCAACTGTCTGCATGGGTGACTTGTTTGCAGAGTCCTTGCTGTGTCACACATTAAGCCTGGGGACTTTACACCTCACTGCCTGGGGTCGGACGGTTGGGGAACTCCAGCTGCTCTGCCTGTTGCTTTCCGGACAGGGTTCTGGGGTCCTGAGGCCTCTTTATGGAGCACTGCTGGCAAAGCTAGCCATCAGTCTGTGGGATTCTGTGGGGCAGTGAGATTTGGTAACAGACTTTGGAAACACACTGGGTGCAAGTCCCAGCCCTGTCACTTTGCTAGCTGTGAGACCTGGGACAGGTCAGTTTACCTTCTTGAGCCTCAGTTTGCCCTACTTAGGGAAAAAAAAAAAAAAAAACTAAAAAAAAGGCATAGCAGGCCCTCCTTGCATTGCAGCATATTGTAAATCTTGGCAAGAATATGAGCTTAGTGCCTTAACAGCAGCAAGTTGACTGTAGTCATTATTATTGGGCTCAGACATATTCTAGACCCTTCCCTGGGCACAGAGTATTTTCTTGCCCCTTCCTAAGTCAGGACGAGGTAATGGTGAGAGCTGCTTTATGGTGGTCAGGCGAGGCAATTTTTGCTCTTCTACACAGTGAACCCAATTCTGTTTTCTTCCTGTAGCCCTGTTACCCCCACCCCCACCCCCCACAGAGACCCCAGGAAATTGAGCAGGCTGTGGGAAATAAGTAATCTATTGAAGGAACCAATGTGGAAGGGGCCATGCACGGTGGACTCAGGAATGTCAAGAATGCAGTTGTCCATAGCTGGGCCTAGGGCGTGGCTGCCACTTCATTCTACCACTAAGAGACCTCCCCCTTGCTCTCATTTCCCATTTCTTTGCAACTTCATCAACTCTTTCCCTTCACCAGCTCTTGTAAAAGGCAAAAGGGGTCAGTCAAGTCAATAAAAGTTAGATGACTGAGGCAGCAGTGGTAGAAGGGATAGAGGTAGAAAGCCCCCTGAGCTGGTGCTGACCAGACTTGAAAGCCGTTCTGTAAATGAACTCCCTAGGGTGGGTAAATGATTAAATCGGTCCTGTAAGTTTGTGCAGTGACCTCTCCTATCCCCCCCTGTGTGGATTCTCTTTGGAGCAAATATATGTTTAGCTGATTACAGGAGGGAGAGGATTCCAGAGCTTTAGACACACCCTCGGAGGCATCTCCAAGAAGGGACTTGGGCCATTTGCCCACTTTGTTTGACTATGGCAAGTGATTCTAACACCAGGTGGGTTGTTGCCAGCTATAAACAAAAGGCAGTCTGGGAAAGGTGCCCAGTCTGCCAGCCAGGCCCTACAGGGGGCTACCCAGACCAGAGAATTGCCAGCTGCCCAGTTTTACACATGGAAAGAGGTCTCAGACCCAGCAGCACTGGGCCAGTTCATCAGATCTGTACTAGATTGAAATTCCATTTTCCATCTCTTTGTTCAAAACTTACCAGAGTCTGTTGGACAACATACCATATGTCACTTCCTCCTGGTGACCAGAAGAGGTGTGTACAGAAGAGCCAGTTATGTCAGAATCATTTCTGGGCACACATTCTACCCCTGAGGCCAGGGGGGTAAAGAACATTTGACTAAGGATCCTTTGAGCCTGGATGGAATATACCCGCCCACTTCCTTCTCAGGTACCATACTGTTGAGAGCCAGCACATACTGGCTGCCAAGGTGGCATCTCATAACCATTCTGGAGGCTGAGACTAGGACATTGTTCAGTGGGGAGCTATGGGTCAACTCACTGTGAGGATTGCAGTCGGCATTCCTGTAGGTGATGTTTGGTATTCATATAGAAAGGGGAAGGAAATTCATTTTTATTGAGTACCTCTTATTAAGCATTATGTTGGTTCCTTATGCAATGAATATTTATTGAGAATATTTATGTGGCAGGCACTGTTCGAGGTGCTGGCCATAAGCTAGACATGGTACATTCTCCCATGGACTTAACATGTTACTTTCATATATTCCACCTAGTAGCTTTCCACGGTGTCGGAGTTCTCTATTGTTGCTATAACAAATACCACAAGCAGGTGACTTTAACCAACAGAAACTTGTGTTTTCACAGTTTATGAGGCTAGAAATCTGAATTAAGGGAAGGCTTTCTCTCTCTGTGTCAGCTCTGGAAGAAGATTCTTGTCTGTTCGGTTTTTGATTCTTTGGAGATCTCCATGTGTCTTGACTTCTGTTTTATTCTATCTCTATTTCTTTTGCTTACTTAGGTATTCTCTTTTATATCTCAAAAGAGACAAACTCAAGCCATACTATAGACTAAATTCAGCTTTGTTACCAAAGACAGTCCATTCCGAAATGGAATTACATCTATAGGCTTAGAGGCTATACTTTATAAAGCATATTTTAGGGAGATACAATTCAATCCTGAATACTCGATAAATGGTTTTATTTTTATTTTCCATTTGAAGCCTCTAAAGGCTCCAGCGTGCCTCAGCCAGTTAGGTGTGGGAGTGAGGATTTACATTTAGGCCTTCCTGATTCCCAAAACATAGCTGTCTCTCCACATCAGGTTGTCAAAGGAGAAATATAATAGCCCAGAGCAATTGACACAGAAAGCCAGAAATACTTTGGGGGCCGTGCACCACATGCGTGTAAAGGTACTCACTCTGGACTGTGTTCCTGGCATTGTGTCAGGCATATGTGTACCCTCGTTCTGGCACTGGTCAAACTAAGACATTACAAGTATCAATTGGGTCTCAGGGTTTGCCCAATCAGAATGGGCTTACTGGTGGTCACTGTTTTCCCTGTGAAAGCCCTCTCAGGTTTTGTCAGTGGGGTCCCAGGTCTCTCTACTAAAGTGTGGGGTAACACTCCAGGGATGGGATCCCAGACTCAGTCACACCACTACCTGCCTGGAGTCACCTAGCAAGACTCTGAACCTGTGCGTCTGTCTTGTTCATTGTCTCTCCCACCTGTAAAATGAATAATGGTAGCCAGCTCCAGTAAAGGATCTGCAAAAAAGCCCTTCCTATGCCTTAATTGTAGGGTAGGAGCATCTCTTTTAAGGGAAAAAATCCTCCCTCAGGGGACTGAGCCTAGTCACCTGGAGTTACCCCTGGAGAACCAAAGCCAGCCCCTAGAATGGTTGTGGAGGCCTGGTGTGACGCTGTAGGATACACACTAAACTGCATACTGCAAAGTCACCAGTTCAGACCCACCAGCTGCTCCTCAGAAACCCTATACAGTGTCACTATGAGTCAGAATCAACTCGACAGCACATAACAACAGCAACAACAAAATGGTTGCAGAATAATAATGTGACCTTCTCTGCAAAGACAGTGCTTTTTTTCTGGTGCTTTCTGGTACTTTCCAGCAGGAATGTGGGCAGTTATGGGGCAAGGACCAGGTGGGCCTTCTGAGATAGCTGCCCTGGGAAAATCTCTTAGTCTAATGGAAACTAGTGCTGAACAATGAACAATGTGTGTATAGGGAGAAACCTAACTTGGTCTGTCCCAGGTTGGGTGATTCTGGTGGCCCCTAGTTTCTGTCAGTTCTGGTGGCTTTAGCATGGATGAATGTTTAGTTGTAGCATCTCAGCTTAGCAGCTGTTCACAGTTCTGCGGTTTTCTTGGGGAAACCCCGTTAGAAACCCCAAACGTGGAAATTTTTAGTAATCTCATTCAGGTCCCAAATGAGGTAGAAATGTCTCCCCCTTGGAACACCCATTTCTTCTGGGTGTACATTTTAGGTTGCTCTGAAAACTCAGCATCGCTGGGGATTTCCCACTCCCTAGGACTTAATTTCCCCAGGAGTCCCATAGAACCCTTCAGCTTCTGTTTGAAAACTACCCAGGTATTTTTTTCAGGGGTCCCCAAAGGAAACTGGAGGGGTTTCTTGACTTCGCTTGGATAATCAGATTTGTTTGAGCTACATGAAGCAGCAGTTGTTAGTTGTCCCTTCTCTGTGCACTACCTCCCTGGTTTTTCCAGTACCCTTAGCCTTCTGTCCTGGGGCTTTCGGTCAGCTACCAGTTTGCCTAGGTTTAGTGTCAGTAGATTTAGAGGTATTTCCCAGTGAGCTGTTCTTCTAAAGAAACATAATCTCCTGCTACCTTAATTAGCAGTGCCACTGTTCCCACCCCCAACTTAATTCCACAGGGCCCTCCCTAAGGACTCCCTCTTTTCTTTGAAGGAGCCACTCTACTCTTCTTCCCCTCTAGCCGACAGTCTGTCTTTCCCATTCCCAGTTGGCAGATCTGAGTCAGACACTCCTACTAGCTCTTTTTGTTTAGCCCAGAGAAGACAGGACCTTTGAGAATATGATCACTGGCTTCAGATAGCTGAAGAAAGAGG